AAATACTTCTATTCCCCATTCAATTTTTAAGAGGAAATACCCTGGTTAGAGTCCCTGTGCCATCAATGTTTCTCCAAACTTTACAATCAAAGTTTAGAATCACAATATAATTAAGGTAAAACAGAGAAATCTAAGTTGAATTTCAAGATAACAACACTATAGAAATAATAGTAAAATGTCTCTCATGTTCATTGCAGCACTACTGACAATAACAAAACTATGGACACAACTTATATGCCCCCAAACAGACTAATGGATCAAGAAGATGTGGTTTATACACAATGGAATAATATTTAGCAATCAAAAAAGATAAACTCATGACATGTCATTTGTGGCACATGACAACATGGATGGAGTTGGGAGGGCTTGTACTAAGTGAAATAACTTAGAAGAAGACAAATAAAATACCTACCAATGATGGTTGTACAAATCAGCAAATGAAAAAAAAAAATGAACTGTTCACTTAATGAGTGAATTTTATATTATATAAATTATACCTCTACAAAAGTACTTATGATATAAATTATATGTGAAAATATAGAGAAACCAGATGAAGGGTCACATTAAGCCAAACACAAAAACTAGCCCTTGAAAGCTGACTATAAAACTGAGACATTAGGAGGGGTGGACTGTGGGTGCTTTGGTAGTTGGAACACTATAGTAACAACACCAAAAGGAGGGGGATCCTGACTTCCAAAATAATGCAAACCAACGCTACCTCAATAAAAGATAAATAAAAAAGAAATGCAGCAATTATCCTCCAAATCTTCCTGCACTCACTTTTGAGGTGTACTATTACCTGCAATAAAGCTTCTTTTCTAAATCAAAAAAAGAGCAAAGATACAAGGAAATTGAAAGTAAAACTACTGAGTATCATTGTGATGAAAATAGTACATGAAAGCTGCTTTATTTATATCATAAACACTTTTGTAGAGGTATGATTTATATAACATAAAAATCATTCATTAAATGTACAATTCTACCTTTTTATTTTTAATTTGCTGATTTGTACAAACATCAATATAATTCATTTTTATAAAATCCCAAATGTCTAAAACATCCTGGGTCTTTCATATAAATGAAATGTTACAATTAAAAAAAAAAAAGAAAAGGAAAAAGGAACAATAGCTCGTCACTTGTTAGATCATTTGATGACCTATTTATTCAAGTGTGAGGTAGGTAAATAAGAAGGTAGGTAGGTAATTATTTATATATACATATATTTAAAGAATAGAAAGCAACTTAAAGGAATCACATACAAGTGGTTTCAGAAACTATAAATATAAGCAACTACTATTAACAAATTTGTCTTGGTAACATAATTTAGGCTTATACACTGTACATGAAGTCCTCTAATTTATATTCCATAAAAATGCTAGCTAAATCTTCAATCAGGTTACTTTTCTTTAATACTTTACTTCTTCACTTATGGCATTATTCATCAAAAAAAGTATTATCAATTTTAATACTCCACAGAGATGAGAAAATGGCTCTTTCTAAAGTACATCCCTCATCCCCTTTAATATATGCATATGCTTTCTGCAGTGGCAATAATAACAACTTACCCATGTCTACGTGATTCTGATTATCTTTAAATCTTTTTGGATTTGAATTTTTTCCAATACTATTAGGAAATCAGAGTCACGGTAAATTCCTACTGAGTACAACTTTTTAAGGAACTCATAATAATGTTCATTTATATATTATCTTTCTTCAAGAAGCTAAGTAGAACTCTATAAAGACAAAACACCATATTTACATCCAGAGTCAATACAGATTTTCAAATAAATGTGGAAATTTTATCTAAATTAATAGCATGGTTTGTACCACAGCATTTCCAATATATTCCAAAATACAGAAATTATATATCAGATTTTCTAGCTAAATATAAATAAAAGCAAATACTCTGAAATAACCAACTAAAAAATACATCAGAAGACATTGTAATAAACATGAACATTTTTAAAGTCATTCTTAAAACAGTCTATTTTTAAAGATATAAAATACAAATTTTATGAAATTAAGAATTGCTTTAAATTACCAAATGGAAAATTTTTAAATATATGTTTAAATTTACACTACTAAATTTGAACATGGCCACAACTTTGGAGGTAACCGTGAGGAGTATCAATCAACATATATTTACAAGGAGAATATATGACTGAATCCATCATTATGGAATAGACTTGGTGGGGTGCAAAGGTAAAAAATTATTATTAAAAAAAGATATCATCAGCTGTCCCAACATTTCAAGGATATGTTTTATAATATTTTTTTAAAAACAAAGCATTTTGATGCTATATTAACTATCTATAGTACAGGAAAATATGGGAAACTTACTAACTTATTATTGAGAAGCAACATCCTAAGATCCAAAACATACTGTCTAATTATAAATCTACTGAATACTTTAAAAATGTTTACTCTTGATAATTCTTAATTTGAGAAAAAGGGTATTTCCTTAACAAGTTGAAAATATCTATTGAAGCCAAAGGAGATTTCTTACATACTGAAAAAAGTGACAATATTAGTCACAATTTTTTTGGAGGGGGTTCATGGGAGGAATGAAAGATTTGAACTAAACTATATAAAAAAAGCTAAAATACATTAAAACAATATAAGACTAAGAAGTGGTGGTAAGTTTCAACTAATGGTGGTAAAATCTTAAAATTTTCAAGAGAAAGTAGAAATCTAGATTTTTTTTAAGTGCAATCTCTCATGTTTCTCCACTAACTTTGACATTTGAAAGCATTGTATATTTCCAAAGAAAGCATTTCTGTGGGTTAAATTGGCCACAATGGACCTCAGCCCTAGACACACCCAGCACTTCCTGCCTCACCCTAAGCTCAAGCTGCTTCCTGTGTCTGGACAGGCCTTTCCTCTCCCCCCACCCATTCAAAAAGCAACCACCCATCAGGGTGTGGCTCAGGGACCACCCCTCTAAATAGCATTCTCAAAAACTCTAGCAAGAACTACCATTACTCTTCTACCACAGACTATAATTCTTAGCATAGTTTAGTTACCATTATTAGTTATCCAATGAGTTCTGTCTCTTCCTGTAGATTGGAGAGTAGGAAAGTGTTTAATAATAACTTCTGCTGTCTATAGGCCCTAATCTGTGCCAAGCACTGTGAGGATACTTTGTACAGTTTCTATAATACTCTCAAAAAATGCAAAGTAGATATTATTCCCATTTCACAGATAATATAAGTGGGATTAAATAACTAAACAGCCTAAAAGAAACAAGATTCTAAATTTTTTCCCAGACTCCAATCATATTACAGTTGGTCTGAATTTAATTGAATTGACTTGGGATTTTGCTCTAAAAGGAGGTCAGTGGGGTGAGAGCAATAGCTAAAATAAGAAGAACGAATCGGCGTTTAAGGATTCAGGGTTTTGTAATCTAGAAATAGAATGTGAGTACTACATGACGCACAAAAGAATGAAGAAGCAGTCTAAGTATGTACTTGAAATTGAATTCTATAACATAACTTGCATACAAAATTACCTTTTCCTTAGCAAATTTTGTTGATTCACTTAAACTCTGGACTCCATGGAGGAAAAAAAGAACAGACAGAAACAGTACAATAATCTAAAAGAAAGTTTAAATTGTAGACATCTTTTGAAATATCCTTAATATTCACTTCATTTTAAGCTTCATATTAAGTCTTCATAATACCTAATTTGTAACTGTTTTCTTACAACTAAAAATAAGTCATATTTGTGATATCTATACTACTTAAACTTACAAGAACTGAAAATAATCCCAAAATAATTTGTTGACAATTTCTAAAGCTATAAGCACTTTGTTTAGCATGTTTTAAGCACTGCTAGTGTGAAAAGAGAAGACAATCAAATAACAAAGCACTTTTACAAAATGATGTGAAATGTCCGATGCATCATTCACCCTAAAGAACCCAATTTTGTTGAAGTGTCTTTAAAAATACAATACAAGATCTTGAACAGGGAAACATCTGTGCCAGTGAAATGGAAATGGTCTTTTAAAAGTGTTATTAGTTACTAAAGTGGAAATGAAGTCTTCTAAAGTGGTATTAGAGAGAAAATCACCAAGATGGCATGCTTCTCCTTTTTGAATCTTTGAAATACAAGCTTTTTAGAGTCCTAATCATTAAAAAAAAAGGGGGGGGGCAACAATATTAAAGAAACTTAAGCATTTTTCTGGCCATTTATAAACTTGTTAAATATCTGTTTAAAGTTAGAAAGTTATAAATATCAATCAGACTTTGGTTCAAATTTTAAGTTGTTCATATATAACACATATCCTATATATCAGAAATACTTGACTTTGCTTTCAGGTGAAAAAGACACCTCCTTCCCATAGAGCAGGAGTCAGTGGATTATAGGCCAAACAGAGCACAGAGCCTATTTTTATAAGGCCTGCTCTCCAAGAATAGTATTCATCATTTTTTAAGGGGCATAAGATATATTTTTAAAGGGTTGTAATAGACAGCTATAGATAAATAGAGATTTCAAAATATATATACATGTACCTATATTTTCACATACACACACACCTCTAGAGACCACATGTGGTCAGTAAACTCTGAAATACTTACTATCTGGCCCTTTCTGCAAAGTTCACCAACCCCCACCCCCATCACAGGGTATAAAGGATTCTTTATAATTGTGGCCTAAAGTGTAGGCCATTGACATCATACACATCACACTAGACACCAAGCTGTGAAAGGGGCTGAGCCAGAAAAATTAAGTGGTAAGGCATGAATGAACAGTAGGTGATTTCTTAAAATATACTTTACTTTTACTATAGAAAGACAGACTACTTGAGTTGGATGTATGACAGCTCCAAATTGACATGGACTTAAGGAAACTGTTCATTCATAACACTTGAAAATAATGAGGTCTTAGTTGGGTTGCTGATCTCACAGGAGGGAGGGGATGAAAGGAGCAGGTCTTGGTATTTCATACACATTTATCCCTTTCTCTATCCTCGCCATATCCTTTCCTCTAGGTACACTTACATTCAAGCCCAGGTAAGATTCTTCAGTGACTCCTCCAAACCCTTCAAACCAGCAGTTAGTTACTCCCTTCAAGTCTGGGTCATCACCAGAAACCAACTCTGCTGGATGCTGATCTGGGACTTCAAGTATCTAATATAGTGAAATTCATAGAAAGAGAGAGTAAATGGTAGTTGACAGTGGGCTTGGGGAAGAGAGAAATGGGGAGTAGTTAAACAGGTACACAGTTTCAGTTTTGTAAGGTAAAAACATTCTGAATATACCACAACAATGTGAATATACTTAACACTACTGAATTGTAAACTTAAAAATGATTAACATAGTAGATTATATGTTGTTTATATTTTATAACAATTCATAATAATGAAAAACAATTTTTCTAATTTAATGAAGAATTTAAAATATGGATAACAAATTCAATACACCACTTTCTGAATTAGTCAACTCTAACAGAACTAATGTTAAAACATAAAATAATTTAACTTAAAACAAATCAATGCATTGCATTTAATAAACACTGAAATAACACATTTCTCAAGGAGAAAATACTCATTCAAATCTAAAGAACACTTATCAAAATAAGACATTCAGGGCCTCCCCGGTGGCGCAGCGGTTGAGCGCTGGGTTGCGAAGCTGCCCGCAGCCTCTGCAGCGCCTGTTCGATTCCCGGCTGCTCCCCGGCCACCAGAGGAGGGTCCCACATGGTGCGCAGACCTCTCCTGCCACCCGCTGCTCCCCTCAGCAGTGTACTTCGGTCCTTCTGCCTGCTCTGCTCCCTGCTCTGGCTCTGGTGAATTCTCTCGCCCTCCCGCGCTTCTGACTGTACCCAGTGCATGTATAAACGAAACAAACGAACAAACAAATAAATAAATAAAAAAACATGCCTCTATAAAAGAAAAAAAAAAAAAAAAAGACATTCAGATATAAAGAAATCACAACAAAAATGGCTTGCTTTACAAATGACAATCTCTTAATATAAACTAAAATTTAAAAGAAAATACAAAGTTAAATATCTAAAAATAGTTAATATGCAAACATTTTAAAACATATTTCTAGAAATCCCTGACTCAAAGAAATCAATTAACAAAATTATCAGTCATCTAGAGACAAGGAATAGGAGAATGAATCTTTCATAAAACATAGGATATAAGTATATTCAGAACAATATATTTAACTTCAATGTCTTCAAGACTGATAATTTTTAAAAAGAATTAAGTAAAAAAAGTAAACAGAAGACAGAAAACTTAAAAATTTAAGGTAGAAGTCATGAAACTGAAAAAAAAAGTAGAAAATATGAAAAATCCAAAAGTTTTTAAACTTTTTTATAAAAGAATAACAGCAAAGCAACTTTTGGAACACTGAAGGAAAAAACAGACAATATTTGGGAAAAAGGAAGTTACATCTGTATTACAGCAGAAATGTAATTATGCATGTATGCTGTCCTAGGGCAACAAATTTAAAAATCTATAAAGGAAATGAGTAATCTCTTAACTAAAACTTGATCCAAAAAGAAAATGAAAGCTTTTATGGGAAAATACACAAACAAAACTGGACCATAAAAATGAATATCTACTGCTGGAAAAAAGTAATTAAATCATGATCCAATGGTTCATACCAGAGTACTAATATCTAAGTGAGCAAATATTCCAATTACAACTCATGGAAAGACATAAATATTTCCCAGTTCATCCACATAACCACCATAAAAAATCTGACTCAGCAACAAGAAAATTTTACAAACCAATTCCACTTGTGAATACAGATGTATATAATCTAAATATCATTTCAAACAACCAAATAGAACCAAGCAAAGGTATAGAAAAATAATAAATTATGGAAAAGCAGGGTCTGTTCCCTAATGCAAGGATAGTTCAATACTAACAAATCCTCAAATACAATGCTTTATAACAGCCAACCACAGGAGAAATAAAGATGATTCATCAGTAGGTGATTAAAAAAATACCTATGATAAAATGTTATGGGTATTCAAAACAAAATCTAAGCACATTTAAAGTTTCAGCAGCTAACAAGCCTCTTCACAGAGAAATGGTTCATTCCCTTTGGACATGATAATAGAAAAGGGAAGAAAATCAAAAAAGAAGGTAAGAAACAGCAGAAAGTCCTGGTTTCCATGACTCTAGGAGAGGGAGAAATGGAAAGCTTTTGTTTAATGGGAAGTTTGTTTCACAAAACGAAAAACTTTTAGATCTGTTATACAGATCTAACTATACTGTTATGTTTTTATTAATTGAAATCTAATTTCAAAAAAAATTTTTAAGCAGAGAGGGAAAAAACCACTAAAATTTTAACAAATGCTTACAAGCTTAATGTAGACTGGCAAAGTCATTTGGTATCCTAGGAAGTCACAGTTGCAAGGACATTCCACAGCCACCCAACTTCTCTTTTGCAGAGCTTACTCCAGATGCTTAGACAAAAGACTGGATAACAGCACAAACCAAAGGAGATAATAGTGGTAGTATACTATTTTAAGACCCTGACATCATACAGGAAGTTTTATAACATTTGAAAACAGACTGTGAGAACTTAATATATATTCTAAACCCTAAGGTAATCACTGAAATTATAAAACAGAGATGTAACTAGTAAGTCAGTATTGAAGATAAAATAGAATACTAAAAAATAAGCATAAAGAAGCCAAGAATCAGGAGAAAATAGAAACAAAGAACAGTCGAGAAATAAATAGAAAATAAATACCAAGTCAGCAGGTAGAAGCCCAAATTCATAAAAATAACAATTTTTAATGTAAATGAGTCAATCACTCCAAATAAAAGTTTAAGATGATAAGACTGGATTTTGAAAAGTAACACCAAATTATTTTCTATAAGGGAAAACAGTGGTACTATATAATGATTAATAAGTCAATTCACCATGAAATCATAACCATAAATCTGTATGCACTTAATAACAGAACTTTAAAATACATAAAGCAAAAACTGATAGAACTAAAGAGAATTTGATAAATTCACAGTTGTATTTAAATACTTAAACATTTTCCTCTCAATAACTGACAAAACAAGACTAAAAATATCAGTTACAATACAAAAATGCTTGAAGAACATTACTAGTCAACTTAGATAGTTGACACTTCCAGACATAGACCTAACTGAAATTCATAAATGCTCTACCTGCTGATAGCAGAACACATTGCTGTTGACTGCATATGTAACATTCACCAATAAAGACCATATATCGAGCCATTAAACATATCAACAATTTAAGGATCAATATTACACATAATCTTAAAACCACGGAATTAAACTGAACACCATTATCAGAAAGAAGTCTTCAAATCTCCCAAGTACTTCAATATTAAACAACATGGTTTTAAATAACCTATGGTCAAAGAAGAAATCACAATGCAAATTAGAAAATATTTAGAACTGAATGGAAATTAAAAATAACAGTGCACAAAGTAAAATTTATAGCATTATATACTTACATAAGTAAATAAGGTCCCAAAGCAATATCCTAAGCTTCCATACTAAGAAACTAGACAAAGAAATATTAAACTGCTATAGAAAGAAGAACCTGTGTAGCAGGTCAGAAAATAATAACAGGAATCAATGAATAAGATAGAAGAAAAACATCAGAGGAAAAAAAAAAAACAAACAAAAGCTGGTTCTTTGAAAACATCAATAATATTTATAATCCTATAAACATTAAAAAATAAACAACTTTATAACACTAACATCTGAAATTTATAATCTTATGAACTCATTTATAACCATAAGCCGAAAAAGGTTCATTCAAAAAGTACTACACAATCCGAACAGTCCTATATGTAGAAAACAAACTGTATTTATACTTTCCAAACTCCCTACAAAGAAAACAAATGCCTCCAATCCCAGATGAATCCTCCTCACTGCTGATGAAAAATATTACCAACTCCACAGAAAGTATTCCAAAAAAACAAATGAGGGTGAAACATTTCATATTATTATAGGAGACTAGGAATAAAATCAAGAAAACAAAATGAAATAAAAACATTACAAGAAAAAAAAGCTGGGCCTCCCCGGTGGCACAGCGGTTGAGCGCTGGGCTGCGGGCAGCTTCCCCTGCACCCCGGCTGCCGGGCGAGGGGCCCACATGGCGCAACAGACCTCTCTTGGTGTGCCCGCTGCTCCCCTCAGCAGTGTCCTCCGTCTGGCTGTTCTCTTCCCAGCTCTGGCTCTGGTGAATTCTCTCACCCTCCCGCGCTTCTGACTGTACCCAGTGCTTGTATAAATAAATAAATAAATCTTTAAAAAAAAAAGAAAAAAAAAAGCTACTAACTACTCTCCTGCTTGAATGTACATTTCTAATTCCTAAAAAAGTACTAGAAAATTAAATTCAACTATGTATAATAAGAAAATTCATCAAATATAAGTCCTACACAAGGAATGGCAGTTTCTAAAATCAATATATGCAACTGATTCACTATATCAACTCAATCAAAAAGAAAAATGTATTACCTCAATAGACATAAAGTAGCCAAAAATCTGTGAGTTTAATTATTGAGAAAACAACTATTACAACTGAAACAACCAAACATCAAAATATTTTCAAAATACAAAACAAGATACAAAACAATTATAAACCATTCACATTCTTGAATCAGGATACTATAACAAACTCAAAATAACATTAAAATGTGACATTGTTTGTAATTTAATGCAATTTCCATTGAAATGACAATGGGATTTTTGTTTTGTCCAGACAATGTTTTGTCCTGAGTAAGTGGGACAATGGAGAAAATACTTTCTAAACATGAATACTGGTTAGATGTCTGAGATTATGCTAAGAAAGTTATTTTAAAAAGAAAAAATATGGGCCTCCCCGGTGGTACAGGGAGTTGAGTGCAGCACTATGAAACTGTCCACAGTGGGCTGGATTCCCAGCCAGCCAGGGAGATTCCCACATGGCACGGTAGGCCTCTCCTGTCTCACCTGCTGCTCCTCTCAGTGGTGTATTTCGGTCCTTCAGCCTATTCTGCTCCCTGCTCTGTCTCTGGTGAATTCTCTCACCCTCCCACGCCTCTGGCCTGTACTCCCGTGCTTGTATAAATGAACAAATCTTAAAAAAAAAAAAACAACTATGAAAGGAAACCAAATTATTAAAATAAAAAGAGAAAAATCTAATATTATCATAGAATATATGAGCATTGGAATTGATATTTACTGAGAACAGGATATATACCTTAAAAATGGCAGGGATAAAACAGACTGACTGGCTATGTAACTGAAAGTAAGCAGAGTGGGCCTCCCCGGTGGCGCAGCGGTTGAGCGCTGGGTTGCGAAGCTGCCCGCGGCCTCTGCAGCGCCGGTTCAAT